TTATACTTCTAATAGGCTTAGGAATGCATATTTTCTGACAATTATCTAAGCCTGAGAGACAGCATAATCACGGAGTGATTACTGTATTGCCCAAATTTTCATCATATGTAAATTGGGTTCATCGGCAAGATGCGAGAGAATTGGAGCTAAAATTGTTAGGAGTAGTCATGTCATCCTATCAGACCCTAAAACTCAAACTACTCGCACAGTTCAAATACTAGTACATTATTCCGGTATCTGTGCATTTTTAAGTTTTGGACCTCTATTTTTTCTTGGGACCTCTAAACTTTTTTGGGACCTCTAATTTTTTTTGGGGCCTCTATTTTATTTTGGGACCTCTAAACTAGAAAAGAGCCAATCTATCTCGGTCTTTTTGAAAGATATCAAAAAGTGACCAATTGATAAAATGTTAGTCATATTATCAAAAATATTTTGTTTGTTGTCTACTTTTTGATATCTTTTAGAGGAAATGAGACAACTTGGCTTAAAGTTGAACATTTTATTTTCAGCTAACAATGCTGGAAGGAATCTGGAATATTTGGTGGAAACTGGAGAGAATTTCGGATGTTGCTCGGAAAATAAAAGCGAATCTGAATGAAGAAATGTTGAGGAAACTGGACAAGGATCATTTATTCCATGCTTGGGATTTGAAGCAGTTGGACTTTTCATGGTTTTCAAAAAATACTGTAGAGGAGTTGAAGTTGTGAGTTTTTTTTTTTTAATTCAGTAATTCAGGAACTCAGGATTTCAAAAACTCGAAAATTCGAAAACTCAAATAACCGAGAATTCAAAAAGCATTTTTTTCGAATTTTTAAACGTTTTAAAAATTTTGATATTTTTTTTCGTATTTTTAGGGTTTTTTGGGTACATAGAATTTTCGAACTTTCTCAACATTTTGAAATTTTGAATTTTCAAAATTCTAAAATTCTGAAATTCCAAAATTCTAAAATTGCAAAATAGAGTTTCGAAATCACACAACAACCTCAAAAACTCAAAAATCCAAAAAAAACTACGAAAATGAAATATCCAAAAATTCAAGAAAATATTCCGAAAATCCAAAAAATTCGAAACATTCTTTTTTCGATTATCCACAAAAATCCAGAAAATTCAAAAATGAAATTTCTGATTTTTTGAATTTTGGAATCGTTTCTTTTTGGATTTTTTCATACAAAAAATTCAAAATTTTGAAAACCCCAAAAGATCAAAATGTTCGAAAAATCCGGGAAGTTCAAAAGCCCCAAAAGATTTCTGCTTGTTTTCAGTTTCCTGGACATCCCAACCGAAATTCGTCTGGACCCACTGACCCAATTGATGCTGGACCTTGATCCATCAGATATCGAATTATCATTCATGCTCTCTCAATTATGTTTCCATCATGTCGGAAAACTATTTCAAGGAGAAATTCTCAGAATTTCGGAAAAATTCCAAGAGATTTTGGCTGATGATCTACATGACTATTATGTTAATGACATGAGCAATCCGTATTATATGAAGAGGTTGGCCAAAATGATGAAGATTAACAATCAGATACAGGTTTGTGCAATTTTTTTGAAATTTGAAAAATTATGAGAATATTTCAGCTGGATGTCTACCGTAGTAAAGTTCGCAGCAGTTTGGGACACGTTTTTGATATTTTCGATATTGAAGTGTCCCATCCGGAATTGTTTATTGACTTGACACCTTGTTAATTGGCACCTGTTTTTCAATTAAAACTTGTTCAAAATTTCACAACAGTGCTCAAAAATGGAATCATTCGAATTACAACCAAAACAGTGTTATTAATGAGAAATTCAAAAAATCGAAAAACTCTGATGTCCAAAATCAAAAATTCAAACTCAAAAATCCGGAAGATCCGAAAATTCACGAGATTATTCTAGAAAAATTCTCGAAATTCTAGAAAATCAAAGCACTCGAAAATAGAAATTGTGCAAAAAATCTAAAAATACAAAAAAACAAAAACACAGAAAACATGCAAATAAAATTCTTGAAAATCTGAAGAATAAAAAAACCAAAACATCCCAAAAATATCTAAAATTTCAAAACTTTTAAAAATTCGAAAAAAATCTAATCATGTATAATTATTCCAACAGAATCAATATCACTATTGTGTTCTTCACGGTATAAATTGATATAAAACCAATATGGCCATGTGTCTTGCATTTCGACACTGACCACCAAAATATCAGAATTCGCCATTCGAAAATACCATGTTCCATCGTCTTCCGTTTCAGATACGTTTGAAGGTCCCCATAATACTGAAAGCTCTCGATTTGCGTCAGTCGATTTTATTGTCATATCACAATATTCGAAAGTTGGAGATTTCACGAAACACTGAAAAAAACAATCTTTTTTTTGAGAATATCGAAAGTTCAAAAATAGCACTCAATTTTTTTTTTGAGCACTCAATTTTTCGATTTTTACGCGATTTGTTCACTTTTGGTGTGACATTTTTCTACTTTTTAAAAGAGTTGAGTGGCCGGATTGATTTTTCACAAATTTTCATCAATAAATACTTTCGTGAAAATTGTATAGTTTACGTGAATTTGTTCCTGTTTTTTTGAAGGCTGAAAAAACTTTTTCAGGGCTGAAAATACTAGTACTTCTGAATTTCTAATTTACTGATTTTTCGAATAACCTAAAACATGTCTAGGAAGGGTCCCGGGAATTGAAGGGCCCCTCTAATTGAAGTGCCCCCTAGAGACCCCACGAAAAAAAGAAGGGCTTCTATTGTGTACAGCTTTTACGGTACATGGGTTTCTTATTTTTTTTAGACTCCGAAATTTCAAATTTTCAAATTTTTAACATTTTTGTATGTTCGAACTTCTTGATATTCTTTAAAGGAGGCCAGACATGAAAAATTTCAAAATTCTAGTTTTGTGATATTTGACACAGTACAGTCAGAAAATAACAATGGACATCAAACCATAACTCCCTGTTACTGTACAAGCGAGAACGCGACCGTTCTTCCACGCGGCGCCGACTCCTCGTTTCATGATCGTTTTAGCGGCAGAAGCCGACAAGCGCTGTGTGGTGTAAAGGCGAGCGCGCTTGTCCATTAGTCGCGCATCGCGGGTTCGACTCCCATATGTCCGTTATCGTTTTTTTTTCTGTTTCCATGCGGCAACATCCTAGAATGACCGAATAACAAGAAAAAGTAGGGAATAATTGCATAACATTGAAGAAATTTAGTGTATACAAAAAAATGCTCGTCAAGTAGCGCGCATTGGGTCGCAATCGCACGATTTTCCGTCAAAATACATGATCTCGCCCCGAGAAAACCCCGTAGACTTTCGTGTTTGGCCGCCTTTAATATTCTGGAAACAAAAAACAACACAATTTTCTAACTAACCTCTTTGAGATGAATCACATCTTCTGCTGAAACGCAGTCAGTTAGAATCGACGATTTCGAAAAATGAGTCAATTCTTTGATATGCTGATCCGAGAAATATTGTCCACAACCAAAAACTTTGGCCATTTTCCATTGCTCAGTTTTCGAAATTTCATCAGTTTCAAAAACTGAACATATGGGACAAAAACTGAGTTCTACTAGGAATTTCGGATCAATTAGTTGGATAATTGAAAGAAATTCTGAATTTTTGTTGGCCCAGATTTGCAGTTTTTTGGTTTTGATTTTTCGATTCATGCAATTGCTCAGCTTTTCTATCACATCCTGATATAATTGCTCATCTTCCGGTCGCAAAGAAAAACTATAGATATTCGCATCAATTTCAAAAAGGTCCGAATTGCCTCTTTGAAATTTTAGAATCCATTTCAAATCGTTTTGAATCGCCACATCCAAAAAATTGGAATTCTCCAAATTTGTTATTTTTTCTTTATACGTTCTCGAATTTTCCATATATTCAATTATATCGATTGATCCATCAAAATACTCAATTTTAAACTCCAATTTTCGTCCTTTTCTCACTGTTAATGTCAGTCCTTTGAGTTTAGAGTCTGGCAATTTGGAATCCTTCAAATCATCGATAAAATTCCAGAAATCACGGCAAACTTGGCGAAGGGTAAGGCTGAAAACAGAATTTTAAAAGGAATCTCTAGAAAATTTGAATTTCCGGATTTTTCTGAATTCCTGAATTTCTAAATTTCTGAATTTCTGAATTTCTGAATTTCTGAATTTCTGAATTTCTGAATTTCTGAATTTCTGAATTTCAGAGTTTCTGAATTTCTGAATTTCCGGATTTTTCTGAATTCCTGAATTTCTGAATTTCTGAATTTCTGAATTTCTGAATTTCTGAATTTCTGAATTTCTGAATTTCTGAATTTCTGAATTTCTGAATTTCTAAATTTCTGAATTTCTGAATTTCTGAATTTCTGAATTTCTGAATTTCTGAATTTCTGAATTTCTGAATTTCTGAATTTCTGAATTTCTGAATTTCTGAATTTTAGAATTTCAGAGATTCTGAATTTCTGAATTTCCGGATTTTTCTGAATTCCTGAATTTCTGAATTTCTGAATTTCTGAATTTCTGAATTTCTGAATTTCTGAATTTCTGAATTTCTGAATTTCTGAATTTCTGAATTTCTAAATTTCTGAATTTCTGAATTTCTGAATTTCTGAATTTCTGAATTTCTGAATTTCTGAATTTCTGAATTTCTGAATTTCTGAATTTCTGAATTTCTGAATTTTAGAATTTCAGAGATTCTGAATTTCTGAATTTCCGGATTTTTCTGAATTCCTGAATTTCTGAATTTCTGAATTTCTGAATTTCTGAATTTCTGAATTTCTGAATTTCTGAATTTCTGAATTTCTGAATTTCTGAATTCCTGAATTTCTGAATTTCTGAATTTCTGAATTTCTGAATTTCTGAATTTCTGAATTTCTGAATTTCTGAATTTCTGAATTTCTGAATTTTAGAATTTCAGAGATTCTGAATAAAAAAAACAACTCACACTGATCGGAAATCCAAAAATCCGATAATATTTTCCATTACAAGTTCGGGCATTTTAGAAAGTGATGTCATTTTTCTTTTCGAGAAAAAACTGAAATTAAAAAATTCAGAAAAAGAGCAGAATAATTTCTTATCACTTATCAAATACCGCTAGTTTTCTCTGCGTCTCTCAAAAAATCATCTTTCGCAATTTTATGAAATTAATGATTTTCTGAACTTTTGAATTTCTAAAATTATTACATTCTGAATGCCAAAATTTACAAAATTGAAATTCAGAAATTCAGAATTTTTCATCTTTCAATTTTTGGGAGTTTTTGAATTTTTGAACTTTTGAATTTCAGTTCAATATTTTAGGCTTACAAATTTTTTCCTCGTTTTCAAAAACCAATAAAATTCGATTTCCAGTAAAACAAACCACACACCTGCTGTCCTCCGTCTCAAAAAATCCAATTTTCTAGAAAATTAAATCTTCTACTTTCCCGGAAAAATTCTATAAAAACAAGTTTTTCTAGAACTTTTTATTGAAAAAAGTTCAAATTTCTACATTTTACGAATGCCCGTATTTTCAAATCTCACTGATTTATGTCTGAAAAATTCCTGTAATTTTTTGTATGGAATTTTTGGAGTCACCATTTCGATTTTAGTAATTTCTGTGACAATTTTGTTTCCTTTGTATTTTTTGACTTTTCGAAAAAATCGAGAACGAGATGAATCGGTGAGAATTTATAAACTCAGAAATTCAGAAATTCAGAAATTCAGAAATTCAGAAATTCAGAAATTCAGAAATTCAAAAATTCTGAAATTTCCAGACAAGTGCTTCCATTTTTTATATTCTTAATCATTTTTACTACGTTGTTAATTTTATGGAATTTCTATGCATTTTCAACGCGTTCTGGATTTTCATATGGATTTACACTGCAAAGTAAGATTGTAAAAGTTTTAGAATTTCGGAAATTGAGAAAAACATTCAGAAATTGTATTTGTAAATTCAGGATTTCAGAAATTCAGAAATTCAAAAAAATCAGGAGAATCAAAAATAATGAAAACCGAAAACTATGAAATTCTGACGAATCAATGAAATCAGCAATTTTCTTTTTATTTTCGGAAATTTTTCGAAATTTTGAAATCTTGAAATTCAAAAACTCGGAAACACAAAATATTAAAAAAACAATACAGGAGTTCTAAAAAATTTAAAAAAAACACTTTATGATTTTCAGCCAAAATGCTGAAAAAAATCAAGAAAACTTTTTTTTTGAATTTCCTCTTTTTTTTCTCGAAATTTCAGGACTTTGACTATTTTTATTGAATTAAACTTTGATAACGCTTAAAAATGAGCCCAAGCTCGACTAGGCTCCGCCCAGTTCGACAATTCATGTGAACACGCGACGCACGACCGCGACGCGCCAGGAAAATGAAAGTGGGCGGAGCCTAGTCAAGTTTAGGCTCATTTTAAAGCTCTTTTTGAGAAGTTGAAAAATCTGGGAGTTCAGAAAGTGAAGAAAGTTCGAAAAATTGAAAAAAATACAAGAGAGTCTAAAACACAAAAATCAAGAAAAAAAAAATAATCCGATCCAAATTTTGAAAACAATATGTAAAATGTTTTCAGAAATCCAAAATTTCTAACTCTTATCGGAACTGTGACAATTTTTCTCTCATTTCTAATCATTTTATCAGTCACAATTATGGAAAATCTGATGCTCTCCCTATTAGCCATCCACCGATTTCTAATTTATTTTTTCCCGAAAACTGAAAACTTTCTATCAGGAAGTGTTAGAACTTTATCAGTATTAGTTAGATTATCTTATGTAATTATATTTTTTATCAATTTAATTTCAAAAATTCTCAAAGTATTCGTAATTGCCAACAATTTCGCATCATCTGGAAATTTCAGCTACACAGAAGTACCTGAAATTCAGAATTTTGATTTTTGGAATCAGAGATTTTATTTTGGACTTGTGATATTTTTATTCTTCTCTACGAGTTTATATATTCCAATGATGATAAGTATTCGGAAAGCTGGAAAATTGCAAAGTGTGAAAAAAAGTAATCCGGAGAGATATGTTTTGTATCAGACACTGTTTTTGGTTCTTGTCAGATTGGTGAGGGATTTTGAAAAATGAAAAAAGAAACTTGAAATTTTGGAAGTTCCCAGAATTCGAATTCAATAGATCAAAAAGTCGAAATTCAAAAATTCAAAAATTCAAGATTTCAAAAAAATTTTAATTCTAAAAGATAAAACAATTTACAGTTATACATTCCATTTTTTTATTTTCTATCAGCATCGTTTGTAGAATTTAGTGAGACTTTGGTGAGTTTTTAGAATTCCGGAAAAATTGAAAATTCGAAATATTCAAAAAAATTGAATACAAATTTAGAAAATATGAAAATTCATTAAAAATCGGAAAAATTCAAAAATTCCAAAGAATAAGGGAAAAAATCCTTTTATCTTCCTTATATATAAAACGCTAGACGCGTCTGTTCACAGGTGATTCGCGCAGCGTCTATAATGGGTGAAATATTGTTCGCGGAAAATCGCCATGGGTACATCGGAACATGCCTACCGCAGGCCATTTACAGACCAATCGCGAACGCGCCACCGCAAACGACCAATATTCGCCCTATCGCGAGCAAATCTCCTACAATTGGCTTGCCGCGAGAGCAATAATTGGCATATATTGTTTCGAATCTGGAAGCTAGCAGCTGCTAAAAATTGTTTATTACACAGAAAAAACAATGAAAAGCGAAAAAACAATTAATTAAAATTTATATTATTCTCTTCCGCTGTTGTCGTACAGGCTGAAACGGCATCGGAGCTTCTCGTTTTGTCCATTTTTGCCTCAGTCGATGACGATGAGCAGAAGATGATGTTGATTGTTGTTTCGAAGTAACTGAAATGAATTATCTAGATTTTAAGCTCCCAATTCTTTTTGTACTATACCTCTGACACAAGTTATCGACTGGAAATTTTTTTTCGAAATCCGCGAACTTAACACTTTCTTCTGAAATCAACTTTTTTCTCTGATATTCGTTTTCAAATTTACCCACTGTCCCAGAACTTTTTCCATCCTCATTCTGAATTGCATTTTTCCGGAGTGCCCAGTCGACATACAGGAAAATGAAGATTTTCTGATACCCTGTAAAAATCGGATTAAAAATTCGGATTTTCTGGACGCTTCTTACCTTTTGAAAGTACAGAAGCAATGCTTCTTCCAGAGTTTTTCGAAACTTCGGCTTCTTGCTTCCGACTTTTGTCTTCCGGTTATTTTCTCTATTTTTCTGCAAACAAAACGACACATTCATGGTTATACAGTATTCTAGTATAATATTATATGTTAATTAATAGATTGCGAACAAAAACTGCGAAGAAAACGGCGAAAAAAGAAGTAAAGTATCCAAAAATAAGAAAAAGAAGTTCGGAAAATAAAAAACAAGAATTTCTTCGCGATTGTTCAATTGTGGACCTTTTATAGGGCCAGTTAGTAAGATACGCATTTTGCTCGCGAATGGTCAATTGTAGAACCTCTCGTTCGCGGTAGATAAGTAATTGGTCGATTATAGCCCTTCTTCTGTAATTGGTCAATCACGAATCACCTGTGACAGACAGGCGCGCTCACCTTTACTCCACACAGCGCTTGTCGGCTTCTGCCGCTAAAACGATTATGAAACGAGGAGTGGGCGACACTTGAGCCGCCGCTTGGCTTCATTTATTTATCTTCCTTATAAATAAAACGCTAGACGTGTCTGTTGGTCCCGGTGTCAGTCCGGTTTTGGGTTTTTAAATGAAAAGTTGGCCGCCACCAAAACCGAACCAGCGGCTTGTCGCACAACGGCTGCGCACTCTCACAGCTGCGCCATGAGGGCCACAGAGATAGAAGGGAGGAAGGGCGTAGATGTTTTA